TTTCTTTGGCTTTCTGTGTCCACCATACTTCACGATCAGATCGCAAGCTCACTTTCACTTGACGTCTAATAGCTCTTCGCACCGGATTATGTTCGGGACCGGCTGGGATAGCCCTTCGAGATTTAAGTAGTGCCACCGTTCGGTCTGATATCCAGTGCTTGAGTGCACCTGGTTGGGTCGTGCCACAGGCAAAATTCCCGCCCAATACTATTATTATTATTATTATAATATTAGGTGAGACTGAGTGTCTGTGCATGCCGGGAAGCTTGGTGGACCCGAAAGGCCGAGGAAATGGAAGATGCAAAACGTCCGCAAATGCAAACGTCCGTTCAAGTGGTCCTCAGAAGCCCCTTGTCAGTTAAATTACTGGGGATCGAAGTGGCTCCCTGATATCCAGCGAAGCAGAACGTTTGAACCGGTGGGCACATTTAATCAAACAGCAATTCAGTTGGCCAACTGCTATCTCTAATCCGAAATCCTGGTATTCAACCAAAAGGAGGATTGTGGATATGTGGCCAACTTCAACCTCAGAAGCGTCCGAGTATATATCTCTACTCAAGGGTCATCGTGTTGCTGGTCCTGAAAGCCCTCCAACTGCTGTGTTAAAAGAGGCCATTGGGTTTCTTATTCAGTGCCTGTCTAGTCTATTTGGGTCTATCTTGGAGAAAGTGACCGTCCCAGACAATCGGAATGAATCGGTAATGGCCCCATTTCAAAAAGGGTAATCGCAGTGAACTTATTGACCGCAAAAGTGTTAGTTTAACTCTTGTCGTGACTAGACTTCTGGCAAGACGGCTCAGTTGTTGGGGAACGAACTTATTGACCGGAAGTTCCGCGGTTCGAACCCGACCTCTGCGCCTCAGCTTCTCCTGTCTAGGCTTGGGCCACCTGACAGTATCCCAGCAATCGTTCCTCTTTAAGATGGCACAACTAGGCAACGAAACAGTAATACAACTACGGTTTCTAGTGTCACTGGTACTTTGTCGAGGTACGCGAAACCTTGGCTCGTGAGTATCAAGCGGGATTCCGTCATAGTAGAGGCTGTGTTGACCACAACCACACATTTCTATAGATGTTAAAGCAACGCCACGTGCACAAACAACCCACAATCTTGGTGTTCGTTAACCTCAAAGGTGCATTCGATTCTGCCGATCTGCCAGCACCGTTAAGTACACTTGCTCTTCAGGGTGTGACCCAGAAGATTTTGAACATAACTAGGACCTCGTATTTATTCTTCTGAGCGTGAGCTCTCCAGTAGCTTCACTGCAAGAAGTGGGTTTCGAGAAGGATGCCCACATTCTCCGTTTTTGTTCGAGCCCGACCTCCGCCTCTCGACTTCCCCTGTCTAGGCTTGGGCAACCTGGCAGTATCCAAGCCCTCGTGCTTCCTTCGCGTGGCATGGCAGCTAGGCACCGAAAGGGTGTTACAGCTGACTGGGTTATTATTAGTGAAGCGAATACTCGGTCTTGAAAACCCCGGTGTTCGAGTTGTTGTTGGTGAGAGCCTGGTCAGCTGGAGTACGCAGAAGACATTCCCTTCATTTTTCAAAACGAAGGCGCAGCAGAAAATTTATGTGAAGAAACTGACCACCATCATACCATCTCTCGCCATGCGTCTAGCACCTTCAAATTGCAAGGTCATGATTCCGAACGTACAGTCTCTAAATATACTCCTCACAATTCGAGAATTTTACGTACATCGGTAGTTGTATTGTAATGAAGTCAGTGCATGAATCCTGAAGACCAGAATCACGTTTGCCTCACTTCTAGCGTCAAAATGGTATATCACTGGGTCTCAATAGTCACCTGCACCAGGCTGCAACAATAGGCGTATTGTTGAGTGGTTGCTACACATGGCCTCTGTGGATGTGAGACGTCTTCAGGTTTATGACCACCGATTTCTCAGAACCGTTGTGCTTTTGGAATTATTAGTGAAGCGAATACTCGGTCTTGAAAACCCCGGTGTTCGAGTTGTTGTTGGTGAGAGCCTGGTCGGCTGGAGTACGCAGAAGACATTCCCTTCATTTTTCAAAACGAAGGCGCAGCAGAAAATTTATGTGAAGAAACTGACCACCATCATACCATCTCTCGCCATGCGTCTAGCACCTTCAAATTGCAAGGTCATGATTCCGAACGTACAGTCTCTAAATATACTCCTCACAATTCGAGAATTTTACGTACATCGGTAGTTGTATTGTAATGAAGTCAGTGCATGAATCCTGAAGACCAGAATCACGTTTGCCTCACTTCTAGCGTCAAAATGGTATATCACTGGGTCTCAATAGTCACCTGCACCAGGCTGCAACAATAGGCGTATTGTTGAGTGGTTGCTACACATGGCCTCTGTGGATGTGAGACGTCTTCAGGTTTATGACCACCGATTTCTCAGAACCGTTGCTGCTTTTGGATGGCGTCAACGGATTGGTAACGAGGTGATTATAAAACGGATATCTGGTTGAGTAGCAGGTGCTCCAGTCGCAAAAAACATCCAGCACCACCGACTAACAACTGTTGTTCTCCGCGCCTCCTTCAAAATGGCGCGAACAATGAGGAGGACAGTGTATGGCTTGACAGAAGTGTATGAAACAGATTACGAAGATTTTAGGGTGTTGTTGGTATCGTAAGCCATCCAGGATAGGTCCCCGTGACCCCGCCTGCGCCTGACTGAAAACAACGCAAGAAATGGCGGCTGACCGATACTAGTGGCATTCGTGATGTCCGTTTCTCTGTAGATTGCCTGATAAGGAGATCGGATATGTAGGTACCCAAGAATGCACGATATAGTCCAGCACTAGGTCCCCTGTCTCACCCACTCTCTTACTCCTTTTTAAATATAATTAAATGAACTTTATGGCTATACGGCAGTGAATCATCATGTCAACACTGATGTTACTATCTTTTATTATGGTATAGTCTACGTGACTTGTCTCGTCCTTAGGAGACGCTGAACGAAATGGCGGCCAACCATTGTTCATCGTCGTTATGCTGCCAGTTGCTGTTCAAATTGTCTGAGTGTTGAAGGTATATATACTTCGAATGTATGTTGCAGGCTGGCCCTGGGTCCCCCATCCTAGTTATTTCTCTTTCGATTGTACGCCTTTATTGAAATACAATAACACGACTGTACGGTACTGAAGCACGAGTGTCCTCCTCCTCTGTAACATTCGGTCACGATGACTCACCAACAAATCTCATCATCATCACCATCACCGATAGCATGACATCAGTTTTTAACACCGATGCTACAACAAATGTTGAGTGCTACTAAATGCAAATTCATAAACGGTAACGGCAGTCTGGAAAGAGCGCGTGAAAAGATTCAGGATGAAGGAAAGGGATAGTCAGAAGTTGGTGGCAAGGTAAGACCTCCAGTCAGTGAATTCTTTGCGTACGGAATCGGCACAGTCCAACCAACTGTCTCACCGAATGCTAGGAACAGAACAGCGAAGTACTGTCTGGAGTCAACGGAATGTCCTGCACCTAACAAGTGTCTTGTAACTGATACTGGGTTACTGGTTGTATACTGACCAATAGCTAGTTGTCTCATGGCGCATATTATGAATTTTGAGATGTACATGCGATTCAATGAGACAGTCGCCCATCCTGCTGATGTGCACACAATCACGGCTGCAGATGAGCTGTTAGGTTACGTGAGCTGCAGAACGGTCGCCCGCTAGAGGTTGCGATGGAGTCTCGGCGCAAATGTGGGCTGACTCAATCGAAGATGAGAAGTGTGGTCAAACAAAAGAGGATTTTAGTCCCTGTCTGATGCTTTCGAATATGTGCATGCCTTAAACGGAAGTCTCAAGATTTCCCCTTAGACGGTAGTGACCACTCTATTCATATACAGGCTGTGTTCCGGATAGCTGTCATTCAGTACGGTTCGATCAGGGGACCCTGAATTGTGCATATAAGCGTTCAGCTGTAGCACCCTTCAGGTGCCTAGCTGTCATGCCAACCGAAGGAACCACGAGGGCTGGGATACTGTCAAGTTGTCCAAGCCTAGAAAGCGGAAGTCGAGACGCGGAGGTCGAATTCGAACCACGGACCTTCCAGTCAGTAAAGTTGCGCTCTAACCAGTTGGGCATATACCCACGTCCTATAAGTGTCTTGACCAAGCAACATTCTTAAGTCACTTGTGCGAAACCTGAAAGTTGGGTGCACTGATCACTCATGAGTATTTTGCAGTAGGCGTTATCCTGACTTATTCTGGGCGAAATATCTAAGAAAGCGAAGCTGGAGTTCGGTTTTCTCTCGTAATACAGAGTAAATGGGATGGGTATTACGGAAACCAAATAGAATCGTCAGTATTGAACATCAAGATGTCGTCAACCACAAATTAGAAGCACTAAAAAGAAACGAAAAGTCTCCGGATCACACTCCTCGAGCTGAAACTGCAACTTAGCCAACATCGAGGGACAGACCTCTATGTGATCGTTGGCTAGGAGTATGTCTGCCCTAGAACTGTAGGCAGTCATAACACTGTGGATGAATTTCCTACGTAGACGACTGATGTCGGTCAGCTTATTACCAATTATATTTTCACACGGTTTTGTTCGAACAGATAAGTAGGGACTTGATGCTTCGAATTTATAATTGCATTTAATCCCAAAAAAGTTTCCATCTGCCGCTGAATATACTACTCATGCAGTCGAGAAGACGCTATGCGGACAATAAAGATACTTACGGCATTTTTGCGCCCCAAGGCCATTGCGAAAGCGTTGCAGCGCTAAACACGAAAAACGCGGTATAGTGATGCCATGCCTTCACTACCTAGTTGTTCAGTTCAGCCCTGCTCGATCACTCACAATAATACATCGACAAAATTTGGAGGTAGCATGTGCTCAGCACTAATCCAGCACCTGGTTCAACGAAGTATCCTTCTATTAGGAAACAGCAGGATAAATGAAAACTCCGGTCTGTGTGCGGAAACGCATAGAGGCATCGCCCGACGCAGTATTCACCATGTAAACCGGTATAAAATCATTTGGGGCTCCATCGCCGGGGAGGCCTCAAATACTCGGTCTTCAAGTTTTCCCTGACTACTCAATCCCCTCAGGTTATTTTTACTCTCAGTTTTTTGGTATCCTGTGCCCATGACGAAAGTGTAGTTCACTCTGAACCACGCCAAACATAGCTTTCGTGCTAAATGTCACAAATCTCCTCGACTTGGTTGAACGAGTTGTTTTTTTATGTTGAATCTTCTGGCCATCATTTCACCACAATTGGCAGAATATAAATCTTGATTTCTCCTGCGAATCAACGGCAATCAGTGACTGTTTTCCCTGCTTGCTTGGCTACTCACGATTAGATTGGTTTGAGGTTGCTTTAAAAGAGCCTATGAGCGTTTACACACTTGTATGTTCCCACGCTTTTGACCGCATGTATATTCTATTACTCTCGGCAACCGTTGTCAATGAGTTCTACGATACTACGGACATACTGACCATTTTCCGTGGCGTTATCCCCGTGTGCGTCCTGTTGATTGAGCTTGCCCCTGGCTACTGATATGTACAAAACCGTTTGTTCACAGAACCAGTTCTCAATGTCACATTTGCTGCCTTCATCCGTGTATTCAACTTCCTAATATATACTGACCGTTTTCAGTCCGCCAGCACAAGCTGTCTTCCAAGAATGAAACTCTACCATCCGAATCTTGCATCATTAACACAATTTGGATAATGCTAAGTATTTGCGACTCCGTATGTACTCATTGTGGACCTGATTAAGTATGAATTACATGATGAGACAGTGCCCGTTTCGGGCACATTTTTCAGTTCACCTAAATTCCTGATGGTTAATTATTTATATTTACTCCAAATCTGTGTTCCACAGAAAACATCTTGGATTTTGCCTATTTCCACGGTTTGTGTCATTACGAGTTGCTCATTTACATTCACTGCCATCCCATGCGCTGAGGGATTTGTTCCGGCTGTGGGTCTCACTGCGGTTTGGATCAATGATAGGAATAGCGGACTGATTGCGCCTTGTTTTCTAGTGGCCAAGAGCCTGTGAGCGTTCTGCGGTCAGGTTTTGCCATCAAGACCTAAGGGTGCCCTCACATTACTTATTGAATCCATTTGTTTTGTCCATTAAGGGATGCGAGGGACTCAAGTATGGATACAGATAAGGGATTGCAATGCCACAAAATGATGCAGTCTAATAAAGCCTTTTGTAACGAGCCGTTCCACATACAAGGACGAAAAGTTCTTAATGATAAAACTCATTAGCAACTAAATTATGAGAAAATGTTGTATTAAACTATCTCAGACTGTCATGAATGGTTAATTGTAGACCGCAGAAGTCTCGCTCACGGAGGGCTTTTTAGAGAGTAAAGCCTGACAGGAATCCAAAGTTTTCCTGACCTACCGTGGATATATTTGTTTATTGCGATGCTTTTTGCGAAAGTTTAGAAGCATACACTGACACAGAGTTAAACAGAGAATGGTCGTGTGAGTCTGTGGACCAGTTTAAAAATTGTTGTATATCAACACATTAGCGCAACGGCCATTTCCCAGACTCGGCGACCTTTTTTGCGTTACTTGTGAGCACCTAAAGGACCGTCCATGACAGACTTCTGGAATGCGCTGTGGGCTTGCTGATACAGCAGGTGAAGATTCTTGTTTAGCAAAATTACCTGAACTTAGTTTATGAATAAATGTATCGTGATTTATCTTCAAAGATGAGGGAGTGAAACAAGGATACACATGGTTTCACCTAGCGTTCTAAGTAGAGTGTGGGGGAAATGGATTTGTCGGTTACTTTCGGTCAGTCCTGACATGACGAGGTGCTCAACAAGTATCATCGCTGAGCAAATGCAACAAGCCTGCCTTCTGTTGCTTCATTTCAGCAGTGGCGCTATAAACATCAGATTCTCGTCCGCTTCATTGCAATAGGAGCATTTAGCGTGTGCGTCTGATGCGCTGCGGTGCATGTGGAACTACCTGAGGAGTGCAACCGCTCCGGTGTTTTGAAGGAAATTGCTGCGGGTGCCTTGGAACTGGGTTGTTGCAGCTGAGATGACGATGGTAATCGATTTAGGCACATACTGGTCAGCTGAAATTTGCTTTGCTGTTGATTTTCTGCAAAAGCTTCCAACCAGTACTCAAGCCTATGGGTCCAGGTCTATCTTTGGCAAAAAGTCTGAAATTCTAAATCTTAAATTAGGAGAGCTCTGCGTGCCATTCCAAGCGCAACGAATTTTAAAGTTTTCCGATACGTCGGAAAATTCTCTACTAGCACCGCTTTAAATCAGGTGCATACTAATTTTTCTGTTGCCCGATACTCTGCCTTGAAGTGTGGTCGCTGGTGAATCCTATGCCTTGTTCCCATTTGCTGACCAGCCACTTTCAGCTGTTAAGGAAATTAACTGTGTTATCACGGTGCTTACGCAGAATGTAGCCGTAATTTGCGTCCAGGTCTCCCTCCTCATCCAGATGACCACTGTAGGTAGGTAAACCTCAGTCATGAGCACTCAGTTGCCACTCATGGCTCGTAAACATAAACCGATTTTGAAAAGGCACACAAAACACGGAGGCACTTCTTCACTTCTTTCGGGTAATCCTTTTTCTAGTCAGTAAACCTATCTCAAAAATATTGGCGAAGACATATGTGGCAGCACCCTCCGAGATTGTAAGTTTTGATAGTGAGCTTGGCACTTCGGAGGTCATGGAAAAAACGCGAAAAAACGAGTTCTCTGATGCGGAATGGCGCAAGCACTAAATGTGCAAAGTGCGAGCAATTGTTGTTCAATAAAATGTGCTGTCTGACTTCGAAAAGTTCTTCCGGTTTTCATGCAGCGTACCAGCATGGAGAACGGCAAAACCGACCATCTAGGCTTCCTTCAAGCAAGGCATGAAAATGTACCAACGATCTTCAGGACAAATGGGCCTTCTTGGTAGTGCAGGGATTTGGGGCAGCAATCGCCCTCATCCTTAACATTCCTCCAGTCCTCAGCAGACAACTATGTTGACGTATTTTAGAAGCCACCTGCGGAAACCGCGAACGTACCTGGAAGTGCACACAAGTAATAAAGTGTACCACACGTCACATCATCGAAAGAACGAAGATCACCTTTACGGCCTATTTTTCGTGATGCAGTGGGAAAGACAATAATAAAAGGCTTATTTTCAAACCTGAAGGGAGCATGCCGAGTGAGTCATGATCAGCCGTTACAACGGAAACGTGGTAGGCAGCAAGACAAGCAGGCATTTTCACCATGTTCTAAGTAATCGTAAATTTTGGGAAACAAGAAACAGAACAACGGGGCGTAAAATACTACTCACTCAATGGTGAAGTCCGTTGACATGAACTGAAACTGAAAACCGCTGCTGGCCATGAGTGACTTTGGGCGATAGAGTAAATGGCCAGTCCCAATTAGCAAAAATGGAAACGGAGGTGGAAAATTCATGGTGGGCACAAATGGCAGGTTTCGTATCGAGAATATGGTTTACAATGAAACCGTGCGGGCTCACCTGTTCCGTTGTGGTGGGGGAGTCACGTTAAAAAGGCATATTCAACAGCGATTATGTTATTGCACAGCGCTGAACGAAAACTGTAAATGATAACGTTGAAGTTGTGGGCAATACACGCTGAAATAGCTAAGCCGGGATAACTAGGTGCAAATAGGGACTCACTGTGTTAGATCGAACTCGTCCTGGAGGCGGCTGGGACCCAGAAAACAAATACCTCCTACTTGCAGACGAAAAAATCGCGCAAGAGGGTGTGGTCAAGATTACTAGGGGAGCATTTGCAAGCAGGCCATCAAACTGGGTACAGCAATATCATCCCGGCATTGCACTGACATCCTTTTCTGGGCAGCCCCCCAATCGGCGTCCTCTTCAAGATGATCCGACCAGAGTTAGACGATTTTGTGGGCAGCGGGATTTTTTCGCTCGGCCATGCGGGTGCAGTGAGGTAGAATATGGCTGATGCACAATCATGGGTTGTTTAAGTTTGATTGGGACCCGTTTAGGATAACCATAGAGCTAGGTACACTTTGGTACACAGCTTCGAAAAATCTGCTGCATTTTCACAATACGTGGCCGAATCGTTCCCAAGAGCGCCCTCGGCTGACGTCTAGGTGCTGTTTGCGTCGTGCCCGATGCGTTGATTTCCACTTGTCACACCAAAGCATTGAAAGAACAAGATTTTACGACGACGTCTGCGTGGACTCGATAGTGTACCAAAGCAGTTATTGGTTTAGATTGGAATGAGGAGTGCTGCTATGAAGTAGCCTAGGAAATTTCCGGTGGAATCCGGCAGAAAATAGGAAGAGATTGACTGGCCTCCACTCATAACGTTCTACCCGAAGAGAACATTCGGATGTGTCGTAGAATTTACCGCTGGGTCCCAAGTTTGCGGAGCATTCGGAGATGCGGCACTGCATGAGACTCTTTTGAGTGGTCCAAATATGGCCTTCGATATTGGTCCCTCATCATTTAGCCGTATCAAGTCTGCCCTTGGACAGTCGCATGTTGACAATAAACAAATTGTATATGGATGTCAAGCTGTTTAACCTCCTCTCCACGAAGGAGGATATTCGTGAATCTTTGCGTAAGAAAACCCCCTGAAACAACTCGAGGCCATATAAAGCTCATCCGAGGATCCAGAGTATAACATTCCTCAGAATGTCTGAGCACATTTACCTGATGCATTTCCAGATACTCGGCAAAAGACGATGTCCTGCTCGTTAGAATTGGGGCGATCGTCACGCAATTAACCCAGAAACCACTGCATATCAGTC